AGACACCCCAACAATCCCACCCTGTCCCTCAGAGCCTTGTCCAAACCCTCCTGGAGCTCTGGCAGCCTTGGGGCTGTGCCCACTGCCCTGGGGAGCCTGGGCAGTGCCCAACCACCCTCTGGGGGAAGAACCTTTTCCTGAGATCCAACCTAATGTTGTGTCAGGGGAGGTTTAGGCCCCAAGGCTGCCAGAGCTCAATGAGCATTGGGACAGTGCTCTTGAGGGACAGGGTGGGATTGTTGGGGTGTCTGTGCAGGGCCAGGACTCGATGGTCCCTGTGAGTCCCTTCCAGCTCAGGGTGTTCTGTGGTCCTGTGAACTCAGGAGGAGCTGGTTTTGTCTGAAGGTCTGTCTGCAGCACCTCGATGAATCAACTGCCCCGGCTGCTGCCTGGGACATGCACACAACACCCTGGTCACAAGGGGGTTGAGTTGGATTGGGATTAGTTTTGGTGTTGTTTGTGGGCAAATCTTGTTGTCGTAACACATCAAAGTGGTCCTTGAAACAGACCCCTAAAAGCAACCCTCTCACACCCATCGTTTGGAGAAAAGGGGGAAACCAGAGACAGGACGCTGACCCAGAAGCCTATGAATTCATGCAGGTAACAACAGTGCTGATGGAGCTGTTGCCCTGACACTCTTTCTGTCCAACATTTAGTGTAGTTTCTTTCATCTTTAATATACTAATGTCATTAAGAGTCAAAATGTTGGGGCAGTAGAGGGTGGGAAGGAGCAAACAGTGTGGACTGGTGCTGTCATTTCAGCTCCTGGGACAGCTCTACCCTTTCACTGTTTGTGGGCTTGTAAACTGCCAGGCAGGGATTGCCTGATCCCACATACAGGATCACAGCTGAAGTCACTTCTGCATTACACACCCACCAGCTTTTTATTTTTAGAAAAGGATCTTTCCAGACTACTTGCAGATAAGTAGCAATTTTCCTTCTGTTGGTGACAGGGCAGTTTGGGCCAGAAGGAAACCCCTATTAGCTGCTGTCTTCTCCTCCCATTTGCTTTTTGAACGTTATCAACTATTCTGTGTCAGCTCCTCTTCCTCTCCCAAAGTCAGTACTTTTCCATGACAGTTATTTTTCAGGTGAGGCTGGAGCTGTTTCCTCAGCCTGCTTCAAGATTTGATGGTTTAAAGTGAAGGGGGAAACTCACATAAAAAATTAACAGCTTAAAAATTGCATTGTAAAGGTACACAAACAGCCCCTTTGAAAAGAAACCTTACCTGAGATCCCAGTCACACCCCCAGCCTACAAATGAATTCCTGTTTATTGAAAGGAACTCACAGGAGGTATAAAGAGGTGGTGAGGAGGAGATGCAGGTGTCCTACAAACAGAAACCAGTAACAGAGTTCCTGTCCTGGGGATGTACAGCACTGGTTTGTGATCACTCCTTGCTTTTCTCAGTCCCCACAGGACTCCACCTTCCTCCAGGATGGCAAGACCCCATGAGCACCTCGTCCTGCTGGGCACTTCCCTTTGGCTCCTCTCTGACCACTTAGTGATTTCCACAAGCTCACAGAACATAAAATGATCTTTGGGACTCCCAGCTATCACATTTTGTTACAGTTGTCCACCATGTTAAAATTTTACACTGGTGAGATGGACAGGCAGCCAGGTCTCCTAAACCTCTTGTGGCCCAGAGCACAGTAAGCAGGGATGTTAGATTGTGTGCACTGTAAGCTAAAAACAGGAGAAAATTAATAAAAGATTTAGTCTAACTTAAGGTCACTGTGGAGTTGAGTTCTGGCTTGAAGCCAGAAGCCCAAAATGTGCAGTTTTAACAGCAGAATAGAGCTGAAACTGGGTCACCTGAACACAATACTGATCTAAAAAGCCCAGGGATCAACATCTCCCTTAACAAAACCCAAACCAACCAATAAAACCCCAGAAGTTCAACCCAGTCTGCTTTGGGAAGTTCTGTGCCTTGTGCTCCAAGACAGATAAATTGCTTAAGGTGTTTTGTATTCAGAATATGGGCACAAACCAGAGAAATTCCCCCACAGACATTCCTGCAGGAACATTACAGGATGATACATCACCAGGAATTAGGGACTGTAGGGGCTGGAGAACTCCTCTTGCTGCAAGGCAGGTCAGCTGAACTTGAAGGGAACTCATAAGAGAAACAGTTTATGTAAAAATAAGCTATTTTTATTTCTTTCCCAGGTACTGGAAAATTCTCAGACATTGCTAGATATCCTGAAGGAAGAAAGTGGGAATGATGTAAAGCCAGTGAGCCACAAAGCAGTTCATTAGGACAACAAGCACATCAACAAAAGCATTCCTAAACTTGATTTTCAGCCTGGGAAGTCCTGCTGGTCTGGGACAGCTGCTGTTCTGGTACAAGGACACCACATTTAATAAAAGCCTTTGTTTTGCAGAAGTAAATTTTCCTTTCAGATGTGCTTTGGTATTAGAGATCCACTAAAGCTGATCCTCAAGTGTTAGAGATGAGGGTAGGCATGTACAAAAAAAATACCCTTTATTTTGAGCACAGTGATCCTGAAGCTGCTTCTGCCCTCAGAACAGCACTCACCTTGCCCTGCCAGGAGTGAGCTCAGGGTACCTGGCACAGACAGGGATCAGAGCAGAGCTGGGGAGCACAAGGGCAGCGCTGGGTGAGGTGTGAATCAGGGGCAGGGGAGAGCAGGAGAACTGGAGGAAGGAGCAGAGGAGCCAGCAGCACACAGGGCAGCACGTGCTGCATCCCCCACCTCCTGAGCCCGTCCTGCCCACGGGGCTGCAGGCCCTGAGTTAACTCAGAGGACAGCACACCGAGTGCCAGAGCAGTGTTCCAGCTGGCTGAGGTCAGGGGAACAAGCTGCAGGATATTGTTGGCTTTAGCATTCCTCATTGATCCATAGCAGAACGAAGTCAGGACTAGTTCAGACACCTTGTCCCTAACTTGAGCTGAAAGCAGCTTTTGCCTTACCACCTGCAGTTTTGCTAAGCTGTGACTCTACAAACAGAGCTGCCTTAAACTGACCTGGGCTTTTCCACAGGGAATGATGCTCACTGGGACCTTTCCTGCTAAAAAAGCTGCGAAAAAACTTTTCTTCCAACACAGTCCCTGGTCTTTGGCTATGGGCAGTGTTTAACTCCACACAGCTGAGAACTTACCCCTTAAATTTTCCTTGCATTTTCCCCCATTCTACCCCAGTGTCAGCACCTTGTCCTGAAATATTCCATATAACACATGGAATTCCACAGTACCCACAGTACCTGTGTCATGTCCCAGGCAGGTGCACTGCAGACAAGTCCTGCTCCTGGGAGGTCAAGCAGGGAGCAGGTCTTGAGTTGGCCTGGACAGGACAAGGAGATGCCAAGTGTTCCTTTGTGGCCCCTCCAGCCAACATCTAACAAACTACTGAGTATCTCATCTTTTTCTGTGTGTGTGTTTTCTTTCCAGAAGTATTTAGGCACAGAAGGGAACAGCTACAAGTAGGTATGTACTAACATTCAATCCTGACTGTGTTTTTCAGCAGAACAACCTTCCCCTGCTGCTACAATACACACCAAACCCAGTGCAAGGTATGCAGAGCATTTTCAGTTCACAGACCTCGAGTAGATATCCATCATCTCTGTATAACAGACAAACCAATAAACATATCAAATTTAATCAAAGATTCCAGCCTGTTCCTTTGGACAGAGCCCCACGCTGGGGTACCACTCATTCCATAAAGCCCAAAGAGGCCAGATCTTTTCCAACTGCATCTCTTTTAATCCCAAAGTACAAATCACATTAGCAGCAGTGTTCTATCTGTTCCAGAGTGCAATTTTGACCCTGAGTTTACAGTAGTAGAAAATGTAAATGGAAGATTCTAGCAGATTCCTTTGCATATTGGCTGCATTAAACAATTACAGTAGAACTATAAAAATCCTAGAAAAAAAAACAAAACAAAAAAACCCACATTCCTTGTTCAAGTTCTGCAGAAGAAAGGAGTGAAAGTGCCCTCCTGTGCTTTGATTAGAGGAGCAGAGCGAGTGTGGTTCAAAGGAATCCTCCCCACAAACCAAGACAGATCAGTCAGATCTGGAACAGAGCAACAAGAGGAACTGGCAAACTGGAGCACAACCAGCAATTCCTAGAGACTGGATGCCAAAATTGGGTATGGACAGAGCAAAGCTATGGCCAATGTTTGGGAATTTTCAAGAGGCTCGAGCCAGTCTGGACACTTGGTTACAGATTGGTGCAAAAATGACACCTAAAGCTAGAGGCATTCATTCCTCTCCCCTCCCTCACAGGGTGTTCACATAACTGGCACATTAATTCCATGATGGTTCAGTGAAACCAGTCCCAGAAACATGCCAAGAACAAACCATGACCCTTCAATGGTTTTCCAAACTGACACCTTCTCTGTCAAATCACAGCCACGCTGTGAATCCAGCTCAGATGCTCCCAGTGCTCCAACTCCAGAGCCATTCTCCACTGAGACCTCTGATGGGAAAAGTGTTACAAAAGCTGTCCAGACCCCACAGAGTGCCTGGACTCAGATAAGCACCGAGAGAATTGACATCCACCCCGGGATTACAGCTCTGCCCTTCACGCACCTGCCTAATCAGCAGCTGATCTTGAACAAGGAATGTGCAAGGCCACAGGCAGAATAAATCATACGCCTCAAAAGTAGCAATTAGGTCCCAAAATCCAGTGCAAATATTCTCTGAAGATGCCCGACAGCATCTGGTCCCCCCTTGGCATCAGGATCCAGCGCCCGGCGGGGCGGGCACCGGCCGGGGCAGGG